AAGGTATTGACATTAACATTTTTTTTCATAACTTCATGTAGGACGTTTCTGTACATAAATGTAAGCACTGTGGCAGTAGTAATGCAATATTTAGAAAATGTACTCTTGATACTCAAGTACTTTTAAAAACAAGTACTTCAGTACTTTTACTCAAGTAGACATTTGACTGTAGTACTTTTACTTGTACTTGAGTAAAATTTAGCAAGGGGTATCTGTAGTTTTACTCAAGTAATAAACCTGTGTACTCTGTCCGCCCCTGCGTATAACTGCAATTGCATATTTCGAACCTCAGCTTTAAATATAATTTTATATATATATTACATTTAAATATAATGCAAAAACTTATACTATACTATACTATACTATAGTATATTACTATACTATATTGGTACCAATACCAATAGTAAAAGAAACCATTTTCCACTTTTAACCGCAGAAACCTTAGAGTTTTGAAAAGTGGCTGTATTTAGCAAATATTTATTTACCTATTTTACATTAATATAGGTAATTAATTTTTTTTTTATAAAACACTCATTCCTTTTAATTATGAGGTTTCTGGGGTTAAAAATGGAAAAAGATTTCTGTACTATTAACAGCATTAAAATAAGTCTTTGCAATGTTTATTTTCAGCTGCATTTGTAATAATTATTTTACTTAATTACATCTATTCACTCTCTCTTCAATATATACTGTGTGTATATATATAGATATATAATAACTGGCTGTCTATATATAAACACAGCAGTTATTCGTAATATAAGTGAGTGATGTGACAGAGAGGATTTAGCGTGTAGCGCTTACATGTGAATAGGTTGAATATCAGCAAGATCAGTTGGTCATTGCGTGCACACGCACATGCACACGAACACACACACGAACACATACACACGCTCACACACAGACACACACCTCAGACACACACCTGCAATCTCACTCACGTGTATAGAGATGCGCACACATGCACATGGCCCTGTGGTGGATTTTTGGGCTGCTTTCAGCTTCGTGCTCCAAATAAATAACCCAGTTTTATTGACACAAATAGAATCTGCCAGGAGCGAAACAGGGGTAAAGAGTGTGAGAAAAAAAAGAGAGATAGGTAGCTAGATAAAATTCAAGTTCAGTTTACTAGGTAAAATTTGCAATGCATCCGCTAATGGGGTGTATGGTGTAAACGTGTCTAGAATAACAAGCATATGTTCAGACTGACGAGCACAGGACAAAGATGTTTGTTTGGCAGAAATCTGTCATGGGAATAGGTGTGTGGTGAGTTTGCATGGGTGTGTATAAGTGGTTTCAGGTAATTTGGTTACATAATGATTACAAAATGATTTGGTTACGTATGTATGCATGTTTTCACACTGATTGCATCAATGACATCAGCTTGTTTTCTTAAAGATACAAAATATGAACAGAAAAAAATCAATCTACTACCTCAGTGTAGAGTTTGGACACATCGTTTACAAGTGATAAAGGTTTTTCTATCCTCTGTTTAATAATAAGTGCATAATTGCCACCACTGATATATATAACGCTTTCTATATAGACCAGAGATTGCCACACAGGAAGATTATCTGACATCACTTCCTGTTTTAAGACTTAACAAGGGACTCCCCATCCTTCTACAAATTAGATGGAGTTCACTGTGCCTTTAAACTGTGGCATTCATAGCACTAGCTTTGATGGAAAGTCCTCAACCAAGTCCTTGACCAAACATTTCAATTGACACGATCGTGATTTTTTATTTTATTTTAATTGTAATATTAAGTGTGTAAAGCTTTTTTGGCTGCCTGGCTGCAAGGTGGCCCCTCACATTTTCTTGCCATTTCCGTTGTCACTCTCAGGCGGTACATAATAGTGATCATACAGAGAGTTGCACACAGTTTTTAGGCCACCTCGGATGTTGGCATCATCGCCCTGGTTTCCTCAACAAAATCCAATAAGATTTTTCAATTGGCTTTTGGATTAAATTGATTAATTGGATTAAAAAATAAGCCCTGAGATATATAAATAAGCCCTGTGACCTTATGATTATTATGCTTACATGTTGTTCATCATGATAATTTCCATAAGAACACAAAATTTTATGAATTTTGAAACCTATAATACAATCGCCATTAGCAAAAAGCTAAATAAATGTAGACTAAACAGTTGCATGACTTCAACTCACTAGGACAACTCCTTGCAGTCTTTATTGTAAAAAAAAATCTCTAAAAGTTCAGATTTAATTAGTTATAATAGTTTGCAAAAGTGAGTAATGAGTAGATGAGTTTACCTGTTCAGCGTGTTGATGTTTCGTCCCCGAGGCGAGAACTTCTAGTCTCATTTTGTCACTTGTTAGCAACAAGACAAGTAAAACCTTTTTAAAAATCACAATGGGGAATTACTGATGTATTTAATGTCATAAAATAAAATATGGAAATATATTGAGCTTATATTTTCCACAGACCAGCTGGCATTTAACCAAAAAACAAGTGCTAATATGCTAACTCGTTTCCAGGTTTTTGGCCTACAAAAACACGTCATCCCTACAGACTTCACAGCTGAGGTCCCGCAGAACGGAAACAGCGACATCTTCGGGATAAAAAGTGACATTGAAGATAGTTCATCTAAAAATTAAATTCTTTCTTTGTTCCAAACCTGTATGAGTTTCTTTCTTCTGAACACAAAAGAAGATAGGCTATTTTATGTTGGTAACCAAACAGTTGACGGTAGGTATAATATGGAAAAAAATAGGCTACTACAAGCCAATGGCTTCCGTCTGGTTCTTCAAAATATCTTCTTTTGTGGTCAAACCTCTGGTCAAACTCACAGGTTAGGAACAACCTTGTGAGTAAATGACGACGAAATTATTATTATTTTTTTTAGGTTAACAATCCATTTAATGTTTAAATGCATTTGAAGGACTCTTTCAGAAATCAGTTTGTTTGAGGTGTTCAGATACAAATATTTAGGCTACAACAGTGTGACATAACAGTCAGTTTGAAAGTTTGGTTTCATCAATGTGCTTTTTGCAGTTTTGCTGAGGTCGATTTTTTTTTTTAGATCTGAAACAGCATATTTTCTATTGTACAAAGACCTTTTATGTTTTTTGATTCTTCATATCCCCTTGAAGGACTTAAAGGGTTAGTTCACCCAAAAATGAAAATTCTGTCAGTATTTACTCACCCTCATGTTGTTCCAACCCCGTAAGACCTTCGTTCATCTTCGGAAAACGAATTAAGATATTTAAGATATTAAAATCGCTCCTGCATACAGTCCATAGGCTTCTTGAGGTACTGGCTCTTGCCGTCCCCGAAAAGTCATAAAAGACATCGTTAAAATAGTCCAAGTGACTACAGGGGCTCAATCTTAAGTTTATCAAACGACGAGAACACTTTTGTGCGCAAAAAAACAACAAAAATAACGACTTTATTTCAACTATTCGTTTATTTCTCCCTCTGCGCGAGTCAGCTAACTAGTTTAATAGCGTAAGCTTCTGTTATTGTACGTCACACGCATCACACACACATGACCAGCGTCGACCAATAGTGAGCCTACGTGTGACGTAGCTCTACGCAATCACACTACGTTAACGGACTATAGGCTTATGGAGAAGGAAGTGAATAGTTGAAATAAAGTCGTTATTTTTGTTGTTTTTTTGCGCACAAAAGTGTTCTCGTCGTTTGATAAACTTAAGATTGAGCCCCTGTAGTCACTTGGACTATTTTAACGATGTCTTCAATTACTTTTCGAGGACAGCAAGAGCCAGTCCCTCAAGAAGCCTATGGACTGTATGCAGGAGCGATTTTAATATCCTAAATATCTTAATTTGTGTTCCGAAGATGAACGAAGGTCTTACGGGGTTGGAACAACATGAGGGTGAGTAAATACTGACAGAATTTTCATTTTTGGGTGAACTAACCCTTTAATGAAAGTCTGTCATTTTTAATTAGCATACATGTTCATTGTGTGGGTTACATCCCATCACACTATACAGACATTATTTACAGTGTGCTTGTCTACAGATCGTTTTGGTCTATTCTTGTGTCTTCTTAATGATCTAATGATTGAAGACCATAAATGACAAAGTATTTATTCATCCAAACAGTATTTATAATTCATCATTTAAAACTTCAGGCGTTTCTGCTCCTTCAGGTTGTGAAGATGGAGCTCTTGTTGGAGAGCTGGTTCAAAATGCAGCAGGAAGACTCTCTCAGGATGGAGTAGGCTAAGGCTCAGGGCACTGATTTAAAGAAATCTAATCATTTGAAATCACATGAAATCAAAATTGAAGTTTTTTGGCATTTAGTATGAATAAGTTAGCCTTATACCGTTATCTATAGTTTCAGACAGTATAAATTTACTTTCCATTGGGGTGAATGAATGAAGTCTGGTTTCAGGTTAGTCATCGCCTCGGCACACAGTCTGCTCCGGTTACCTACCGTAACTTTGGTTCCCCCAGAGGAGGGAGAAACACCATCCTCGATGACGCAGTGTTAAGAAACCGAGTCGAAGGGGAACTCCAAGTGAGCGGTGAAATAGGGTAGACCAATATTTTTTTGGTCCAACATAATTTAGTAATGAAGGCATGTTAACTTCCCTAATATAACTGCACACATTTCCATTTCTAACAGTTTCCACACTGATTGATTGATGTCTTGGTCCCCAGTGTAGGCTACTTTCTCTGCCTTTAAGAGCTGCCAGTATCCAAGAATGGATCAATTTCAGAGCTCCCTATCTCAAGCTGCACCGGTTGCACAGCTTCTTGCCCAGTGATGTTCCTGTCACTGCCCAGAGGTTCCTCATGGACCTAATCAGTCAGTGAACCTCATGGCCTTTCCGGTCCCGGTCACGGTCAGCTCAAAGTCAGCAGCCAAAAATGCCTCAGTCCAGGGCTGGTGTCAAGGCCACTTCAGTCCCAGAGATCCCTTTCTTGGTCCACTCACAGCCAGGCATGCTTCAGGCAGCTCAAATTATCCAGAGGGTTGTTTCAATTTTGTACATTTTCAAAGGAAATTTCAAAACACAACCAGACATTTTTGAATAGTGGCTTTAATGGGATTAATCAAGGCAGTTATGAATGTGTTATTCCTTAGCAATAACAAAAAGGATCATTTAAATGCACACCGTTCGATTTATAACAAAATATATTTGACACAATATAAATGGCACTTCTAAAATATATATTAGAGTTTTTCATTTGATACTTCTGATGCTAAAGAACCTAATTGCCAACATGATGAATAAAAAGTCAGAAACAAAACTTTTGTCATGCAAAAATTTTTTAAAACCATATCAATAAATAAACATGGTTAATAGCATTTCGTTTTTACAGTAAAAATGAGGTAGCATGTAACATGTAATACCCTTCTGAATTCCTATTTCAGAAAGCTTAAGTAAAACATCAACTTGATTAGTTGTTCATTGCGCACGCAAACACAGATGTGCGTGTCTCCGGATATCCGGGCTGCTGTCAATTTCGTGTTCCAAATAAATGGCCCACACTTATTGAAACAAATAGAGCTGTGAGGCAAGAAAGAAGGGAAAAAGAGAATGTTAAAAAAACAAAGGGTTAGAGATAGCACATAATTTTGTTTGTAAGTTTGCAGTGCTTGACAGAAAAGGACTGTCTCAGGGCCAACGTGAAAGACGTTTGGGACAGTTGATGGAATTGTCACTGACTAGATGAGCCATTACATTCATCAACTCACACATCAGTTGTGGTAAACGGAAGCTCAAGCATGTTCGCTTGACGTGCAAGAACCAATGAGGTTCATTGTCATGTGTTACGCAGCGTGTTTGAGCTTCAGCATGAACCATTGAGGTTCATTCTTGTGTTACGCAGCACGTTTGATCTTCAGCCAGTTTTTTTTTTTTTTTTTTTGGCGAGTACAGCAAATTCAAATGAGCTTCTGAGAGAAGCTCATATAAAGGATATCAGTAACCAGACAGTTTCTAGTCCCATTGATTGCCATAGTATATATATTTTTTCCTACTATGGAAGTAAATGGGACCAGAAACTGTCTGGTTACTGATATTCTTCTAAATATCAGAAAATCGGCTGAATGGATTCGAAAACGGTAAAACTCAACAGTTTAACTCTGAGGGAGTTGTAAAATGAGCCTATTTCCAAAAAAAGTGGAGTATCCCTTTAAGACATAACCGACTATGCTTATGTGAATACCCACCAAGGTAGAGATTTTTGAAACAAGTATTTGACAGTTCAAGCGCAATATGCTGCAAAAAATAATAGAATTTGGGATCACATTGTGTAGAGAGGCCTCTTTCTGTGTGCGGGTGTGTGTCAGTCAAGTAATGCATCAAGATCTTTTGTGGCTTATTGCGCTTAATAACTCTTTTTAACATCAAGCATGTGCCGCACTCATTCATGCATGTTCTTTTCACGAAATTTGAACTAAATTTGTCCTAATTTCTGCTTTCAAGAGGTTAGGTGCATTATCTGGGAATGTCAGATGCAAATGCGACATGTGAAAAAGGAATGATTGTGTGACTGCAGACACATGATACAATGCCTAACTAGAATATCAGCTGTGTGGTATTGCCAAGCATAAGGTAGGTAAAATATGTGAAAGTCAGTCTACAAGGATGTGCTTTTGATGTGGTTTAAAGATTTGATCGGTGTTTATGCATAGTTTCATAGTTGATGGCTCATTGAAATCAGCTTGTTATCTTACGTACATAAAGTGCATAGGTTTGTGTGTTTGCACCCTACCTGTGGCCTCTGTGTAGAGTTTGGACTCATCAGTGCTGGTCACTTTGCAAGTGATGAATGTTTTCCTCCTCTCTATTCGATCCAGAGCGCAGTGGATTAAAACCACACTGCCCAGAGGCATTGGACTGTACAGGAGAACAGAGTTAAACCGGTGAGATCACACATAATCAATCCCTAAAGCCAGTGTAAACTGGAAAAAAAATAAGCCTACAATAAAAAATAAATAAATAAATAAATAAGCCTTAGCTCACCTGCGGTAGTCAATGTTGAGATTGGCAGTCATAATGGGTCCTGACAGGCAACCAGCAAGAGAACCTGTCACTGTGTCAATCATGGTGGCTATGGCTCCACCATGGACATGTCTGCCACACAGGAAAAAGGTGTAACATCATTTCCTGTTCTCCCATTCAGACAAATAAAAGGGTGGCATTCGATTTTGGGCAATAAGCGTAGAAGAGAGCTCTTCCTTACCCTGGTGCGCCCTCTAGTAAACGTCCTGCCTGAAACACACAAACGCAGCTCTTCTCCTCCTCATTGACAAACACCACATATTCAAACGTTGCTCCTTGCTCTTTAACACTTCTTGTGAAAAGTCGAGCTTTGGCCTGGATGAGTTTGCTGAGGTGGATGCCGCCTAACAGACAGAAACAATGTGACATTTGCTTTTACACTCAATAGCATTATCATGTCATTTTATTTTACTAATTACAGTGACTTGAAGTAACTACACACATACATATTAATCACTTACCAGTAGCATATTTAATGGAGCGGTTGTAGCTGGGCAACTTTTTCCAAGGACCCCTTTTTTTCTCCTCGCCATTTTCAGTGTCAGTGTCACACAGTGCATTATAGTGATCGTAAGCCTTGCACATCTCTGGACTCCATGACGAGTTGGGCAGGCTGAAGTCCCGTGGTTGAAATGAGAACGGCCACAGCGACATCGTCTGGACAAAGCGTTGACATTAAAGTTAGGTTTCAATAAAGTAAATCAGAGCAGTGTTCATTCTGTACTGTAGTCATGTTTATGGGCAGGTCTTGAAGTATTTGGTGTGCTGTCATCAATGGATGACAAATTTGTATATACAGTGTATATATATATATATATATATATATATATATATATAAATACACACACATGCATGTATATTTAAGAACAAAATATTATTTATATATAAAATATTTATATTTACATATAATATAAATCATATATAAATATATATACAGTATATATATGAAAATATTTCTTAACTATACAAGCGTGTGTGTATATTTATATATATATAAAATAATTATACACAGTGCACCCACATATATTATGTAAACGCAAACTTTTATTTTGGAAGCGAATAATCATGATTAATCATTTGACAGCCCTATTTATACACACATATATATATATACACATATACATATATATATACACACACACACACACACACACCAATACAGTTATAATAAATTTAGCTTTGCATCACAGGAATAACTTGTATTTTAAAGAATAGAAAACAATTATTTTAAAATTGCATTATTTCACAATATTGTTACAAAAGCTTTCTATTTTGAATAAATTCTGCTCTTTTTAAAAGAAACCTGAAAAAGAGTATAACAAGTCATAAAATAAATATAATAAATAAGCATAATTATTTCTGAAGGATCATGTGACACTAAAAAGACTGGAGTGATGGCTGATTAGAATTCATCTTTGAATCACATAAATAAATTATACTTTAATGTATATTCAGATAGAAACCATTATTTTAAATCGTAATAATATTTTACAATATTACTTTTTTCTGTATTATTGATCAAAATAAAATGTTCTGTATTTTGAATCAAGTTTGAAGAGCATAAGAGACTTATGACCGATACTGAGTGTGCGTGTGTGTGTGTGTGTGTGTAAAATTCAGCCATCCATGATGGCATGATGTTGATGACAGCAAACAGACAACAGAAAACTAGACCCGCCCATAAACGAATTATCAGCAGTTTAAAAACAAATGGGAAAATGAAAACTTTACCGAGATAGGACTTCTGGTGTTGAATGAGGACTGTGTGTGTCTGTGTGTCTGATTAAACGAGACTCCGTTCAGTCCATTAGAGATCCGCTGCTCTCCGTGGAGGAAGAGGAGGAGGCCAAGTCTTCTTCTCGCTAGCTGCCCCAACATGCTGACTGGAAAGTAGTCTGTTTTCAGAGGAATGTGGTGGCCGTCAATCCAGAACAAACACAGCAGATGTGTTATTCTTCTATACAGGATAAACGCCCAAATATCTGATAAACAAATGAAAATGACTTTCTTTCACATGACGTAACGTTAATTAACTGAAGGCATTTCCACACATTCTCTGTCAACAAACCCCGCAAACAAGCGACAGCCGCTAAATACTTTTGAAGCAAAATACTGAAAAACGAAATAAAGCCTTTAACAATAAGTTAGCGATATAACATTGTATAAAAACGACAGCCGGCTTTAACGTGGAAATACCTGCCGGTGAAGTGTGTGACTTTCACATACACGGACGTCATCGGTGATTGGCTAAGACACGCACGCGGAGTGAAAACGCGTGTCATTGTAACCACGTGACAGTAATTCATATGTCTGATTGGTGGGCTGAAGTGTTACAACATCCTGTTTGTCTGTTGCCACAACAATACGCGGTTCCCGTTGAATCCCGTACTTTCAGCGCACTGCTGGAATCCACTGTTTTTGTCATTTTACATTTAATAGTTGTTTACCTGCATCTGATGCACAATGTTCGGTCGAGAGGCACGTTCAACAAACAAATTTGTGCAGAGAGAGAGGGCCAGAATAAGGGTACATAAATGCTATTTGTCTTTTATATTGTGTCACAGGGTCCCCAGAATAAGAAAATATGAATAATAATAACTTAAATAACATTAACTAAAATTACTATATTATAAAATTATTAAAAATACACTATCGTTCAAAAGTTTGGTGTCAATTTTAATATTTTTATTCATAAAGGATGCGAAAAGTGACAATTAAAACATTTAAAATGCTGCACTTTTTTAAGTTTCTGTTCATCAAAGAAATTTTCCACAAAAATATTAAACAGCACAACTGTTGTCAACTGTGATAAAGACGAGAAAAGTTTCTTGAGTATCAAATCAGCATATTAGAATGATTTCTGAAGAATCATGTGAATAAATTACATTTTAAAATATATTAAAAATAGAAAACAGGCGTTTAAAATTGCAACAATATTTCAATTTCAAATTTAGCCTATTATTAATTAAATGTTTGAACATGTCGTGTGTTTTATAGCCTATCTTCTCAAAACCTCAGTATGTAGTTTTATGCTTATGTTTAACAGCTTTCTTTCTTTCTGTACAGAGAGCTGCAGAGATCGCAGACAGGACTGCTGAGCTGGACAAGTATGTTTAAGTTGATTTTTAGAAATCAGAAAATTTAAAAGAAAGAAACATTATGACAAACTGCGGTAGGCTTTTATACTTATATACTATGCAATTGTTCCAGAATCAAGAGTGTGATGTTGAAAGCTGAATTTGAGTGTCGCGGCCTTGCTGTTTCTGAAAAAGCCCTGAAATGCAGAGAGAGGACCATAAAGAGAGAGATGGAGTTGTGGAATACCTCTCTCACTCTGGTCAGTAGAGATATCTGTGTCTTTCTTGAAAAAATCTACTGTGAGAGAGAGTGACTAATTGATGACAATATTATCATGTCTGTTCAAAGAGTAGTTGCAATAACAGCATATCATCAGTAGGGGGCGGTATAAAGACACGAGCGTAAATCAGATTGAATCAGGAAATACAGCAGGCCTATCTTTGAGCTTCATGGTTGTCTTCTTTCGGAAGCTGAAGCTAGTCAAACATTGTTCAGCTTAAGGTTTCAATTTTCAGTTAGCAGATTTATTTGGCCCAGCTACTGAGACAGATATAATAAAAGCTAGACTACGCATACACCGAAAACCGTGAGTTCTGTCAACAGTTGTATTCGACGAACAGCAGGTGTCAAATGGAAACTATTCAAATGATTAGTTTTACTTTACTTGGTTTATCCACTCATAATCCTGTAACAGACTGGACAAACACAGTTATCTTGAGTGCTCATCGTTATTTGTACCCATCTAGGTCATATATGACAGCAAACTGACAAGTTTAACAGAGGAGGAGAGTGTTGCAACAATTGAACCAAGGAACTGGAATTGAGCCAAATTTCATTGTTTGTTGCACAAAAAGAAAAAGAAAAAAAAGAATTCAGTTTGTTTTTAAGATTTAGGCCTGCATTTCAATTGTATGACAAATTTCCATTATTGTTTTAAGACATAATGCCAAGTTGGCAACTATAATAATATCAAATAATATTCTTGGCATATAAAATAAATGTAAAATAATTTGTCTAGTGTATAATATAAAGGATTTTTTCCCCCCAACAGCCAACTTAAGCATGTCGGAAATGTTATAGCAGTTGTTGGGATGTTTGTGAATCAGCTCTGTTATATACCTTTTCAACATTGTCTCAATTTTTGGTATTTGCTTAAAGGAAGATTCAAATATAGCTTTGACTTGTAAATGTTGTTGATGGACGTCAGCAGGAAAGGTTTATTGTAGCATGTTTCTACAGGTAAGGAGAGAAGCGTTACGCAGTTTGCTGGAACAGGAGAGACAGCTGCACATAATAGAGCTGAGCAAGATTGACCTGGCCATTTATCAACAAAGAACATAAACCATGCAAAACATATGCCCATGTTCAGCCTTCACATTCACAGCTTTCTAAAATACATGGTTTGTATGTGACAGTTCCAATGAGTTTTTCTACAATTTTATTCTGAATTTCCAGAGCAGTTTCACGTCTTTCCGTGTCGTTCAAATGGTTGAAATGGGATTTAGAAAGTAATTAGTAATAAGTAATACTTTTTAGAGGGATAAATTACATTAATCTAATTACACTAGCTGTTAAAGATGTAATTAGTTGCCAGTAATTAAATTCTCTTAGAGTAACTTACCCAATGTTGTATTATCCTTCAAAAATTCTTCTATTATGCTGATTCACATACTGATTCATTCACGGCTTTATTTATATAAAGTGAAAACATTCACTATGGGAAAAAAAACTAAACAAATACATTGGATAGTTGTCAGCAAACAACTTAACTTAAACTTAAATTTAACTTAAAAATATAAATATAGTCATCTGAAAATGTTTTTGATATTCAAGAATTACAGGTTCCTGTTATGACTGTTGGAAAATCTATTCTTTAAAAAGAAAGGGAGGGTAAACACTGGTCACATTAGACATCTGTGTATCCTTTTCTAGCAACACACATTTAAATGAGCAACCGTGAAGGAAAATAATTGCATTGGTAAATATGTACGTTCCCACCCTGAAGATCCTGCATTAAGCAACTTCTCCAATAGTAAAAGGTGAATTTCAAAAACCTTAAAGAGTGATTTGAACACAGAGACTGAGTAAAATGCCATGAATGTGGAAAAACAGGTTAACAGAACTGGAAGAATGGGGCTATTTGCCTAATACACATTTGTTCGCAAACTCTCAATGCAAGTCACTTTAAACCATTTAAACTGTTAAAATAAATTAGAATGTTTCAAAAATTCTTGTACATTTGTGCTCAAAAGTTTACATCACCTTAAAAAAGTACAAACATTCACTGATGCTCCAAAAGGAAAAAAGATGCTTTAATAGCCGGGATGATTTAATATTTTTATCCTTTAAAAAAAAAAAAAAATAGAATAATTTAATACTGCCCTTCGGGAGCAACAGAAGATACTTACATGTTTCCCGGAAGACAAATTAATTAAAATTTACCTTGACTTCAAATTCAAAAAGTTTTCACCCCCCGACTCTTAAAGGAGTAGCCTCACTTTAAAAAAAAAAAACTTTTTCTGATAATTTACTCACCCCCATGTCATCCAAGATGTCAATGTGATTTTTTCTTCAGTCAAAAATAAATTAAGTTTTTTGATGAAAACATTCCAGGATTTTTCTCCATATAATGGACTTCAATGGGAACCAAACGGTTCAAGGTCCACAAGACAGTTTCAGTGTAAACTGCAAACTGTTCAAAGGGCTTTAAATGATTCCAGATGATGAATAAGGGTCTTATCAAGCGAAATGATCGCTCATTTAAAAAAAAAAAAAATGTAAAAAAAAAAAAGTTTAAGTTTTATATGCTCAAATTTGCCTTGTTCTGTTCTTTGATGCGCTTCGTGACTCTCCTGTTCAAACTCGTTCATCAAAATGAACAAATCTTTTCCAGAGTCAACTCGTTCATTTAGTTCATTGAATGAACCAAATGACACGAAAAAAGATTTGTTCATTTTAATAAATAAGTTTGAACAGGAGAGTCACGAACACACATCACAGAAAAGAGCAAGGCTTAAACTTTTTTTTTTTTTTTTTTTTAAATGAGCGATCGTTTCGCTTGATGAGACCCTTATTCATCGTCTGGAATCGTTTAAAGCCCTTTGAACAGTTTGCAGTTTGCACTGAAACTGTCTTTTGGAACTGGAACCGTTTGGTTCCCATTGAAGTCCATTATATGGAGAAAAATCCTGAAATGTTTTCATCAAAAAACCTTAATTTCTTTTTGACTGAAGAAAGAAAGACATGGACATCTTGGATGACATGGGGGTGAGTAAATTATCAGCAAAAGTTTTTTTTTTTTAAAGTGAACTACTCCTTTAATGCATCGTGTTTCCTTCCTGAGCATCAGTGAATGTTTGAACCTTTCTTTAGTTGTGTTTGAGTCCCTCAATTGTCCTCAGTGTGAAAAGATAAATCCCATATCATATACACTGATGAAAAGGGTTAAAATATGCAAAAGATGCTGTAAAACTGAAGAATTTGCAGGACCTGAAGGATTGTTCTGAAGAACAATGGGCAAGACAAACAAGAACAACCAAAAAAACAAACGTCATGGATCATCCAGGTAACGATGCACAGTATTAAGAATCAAAGGGTATGTAAACTTTTGAACAGTATATAAATACAGCTATTTTTTTGTCCTGTGGACTATAAATATGAAATTCAGGACAGTACTAAATAAAAAGTAACATGCATTTTGTATGATCCCTCTTATTTTGTTTTCAGCACGACTGTACATATGGTACTTAAACTTTAACATGACAATTAAACATGTCCATCCTCCCCCATCTGTTTTTTGATGACACACACCCTCACGGATCCAGTCTAGTGTGCCGACTGAAGATTACACACCTAATTCTCCAAAGAATTTTTGGTTAAAGCCGCTGCTGATTGCTCAAGTGAAATGCAAAAAAAAAAAAAAAAAAAGACTTACACTGTATGATGACGAGCAAACAGACAATACCAGAGAATATTATATTATTTGTTTAAGCATACACTGGAGGGGCAAAATGAGTAATGAATGTAAATTAAGCAATGTTGGGTGTGTTAGAATGTCAGAAGTGAAGACCAGGAGACATGGATACACTGTACACATTAGGGTGCAGTCCTTACTAGTGAAGACAAAGCACTTAGGTGACGACTTTAAAAAAGCATGTAAATT